GAGGCCTGTCTCTGTTCTGGAGAAGAGCATAAAGTGTGTGATGCCGAGCATACCCGCCACGCTCACGTAGTCCTTGAGCACATTGTTGCGCTTGGCCTGCAAGTGTGAGCGCATGCGTGTGTTGTTGTGAACACATGCATGCCCTGTGCAAACCCCTGCACTGAAAAGGAGACAGAGAGAGAGAGAGCGAACCAGCGAACAAGAGACAGATACATGCACAGATAGACAGACGCACAAAGAGAGGGAGAACGAGATTAAGTTCACACATGTACATGTGCAGTGCAGTCAGAGGAACGTACGCGCAGCTTGGATGTGGTGTATGGCTCCATGATGCGGCGAACGTCAAGCATGAGGTGGTGGCCATTGATGCCGAGCGGTGTGCGGTTGATCACCAACGTCTTTGGTGCCTTTTCATCCTCCTCGTTCACCGGAGCTGGCAGATGTGTGGAAGAGACGATAGTTGTGTGAGGGTGGAGACGGAACGACAATGTGTGCTGGATCGTGACGTGACACACGCACCTGCCCTGTTGCAGCAGCAGCAGCAGCAGCAGCACCATCCCACACACAGCACACACACACACACAGAGCACGCACACACACACACAAACATGGCTGGCACTTACCAACTGTTCCCTTCTTGGACTTTTTCTTGCCTCGTCGCCCCATCTTCCCGTGTGTGTGTGTGTGTGTGTGTGTGTGTGTGTGTGTGCACACGACAAAGGACCACGTGTGTTGGCTTGGCTGTCTGCTGTGCTGCTGTGCTTGTTCTAGCTATGTTTTATGATGTCGTTTGAAGTGATGGAGATAATGGGTTGAAGATTTCCAAAGATTTTCAGCAATGCCTTCATTTTTTCAACAAGCGGAATTCGAAGCAAGCAAAACCAACGAGAACTCACCACCACCACCACCCGCGCTCTCACCACCACCACTCTCGCACCGCATTGCCTTTGGTTAGTTGCACCGCAGAGCATGGCGGATGAGGACAAGAGCCAACATGACGTGGAGGAGCTGCGGAGACGAATCGAGGCGCTGACGCGCGAAAACGAACGCTTGAAGCAGCAGAAACAACATGAGAGCCACAACAACAACAGCAGCAGCAGCCTCCACAGTGGTGTTGGCGACAACGATGATCAGGTCGCTGTTGTTGATGGCATGCTGAGGAGCGACGGCGCAAACGGGCCCTACAAACAGCACTGGCGAGTGGAGGACGAGGACGAAGATTTTTCCTCCGACCTTGCTGGTGTTGGGAATGGCAATGGCACAGGACGACCATTGTCAAGAAGCAGCAGATACAGCAGTCGACAGAGCAGCCGCAGCGCATCGCGCCCTGGCTCGTCCCTCAACTCCAGCCGGCGTGGTCGCATGAACGGGCGGGCACACAACCGCCGCCGCCGCTATGACGACGATGATGGTGACGATGCCGACGAAGACGGATACCGCACACCATCGCCAGAGTACGTGACAGCCATCGTACTGTCCTCTGTCCTGTTTTGTTGGCGCGTACTTTTGACCGGCTCATCATCCCGTTGACGCGTCCTTCCTTCCTTCCTTCCTTCCTTCCTTCATTCATTCATTCATCCATTCCTTTGTTCAATTCTTTTATTCATGCATCACAAACAACGCTTGCTGTTGCGTGCGCTTGGTGCAGCGCTGGCCTGGACGATTCGGCGATCCTTGACGCCGTCGACCCCATTGACATGGACGACGAAGACAACCTCGGCAACAGCGAAGACAACTGGTGTGGTGTGGTGTGTGTGTGTGTGTGTGTGTGTGTGTGTGTGTGTGTGTGTGTTCGAGCGTATCCTTGACCTCGAACACACTCAAATGCAGCACTCACCACATGCTTGAACACTCGCGCGTGCTACAATACGCCAAACACACACACAACACACACGCGCGATACACAACACTCACTCACTCATACGATGCACAACACTCGCATACAATATACAACGCGCATCACACGTGATGGATGGCAGGCTGTACACGTCGCCCGCGCACTCGCGGCGGCGAATGTCGTTTCTGTCGCCGAAGGACTGGCTGAGCAGCGAGCGGGCACGCGACCACTTCTTCGACGTTGTGGAGCGCATCCCGCGCACGCTTCAGGGCACGAGCGACGAGGTGTGTCTGGAGGACAGCCCACTCAACCGGTCGTGGGACGGGCGCAGCCTTCGCCCCATGCGCTCGCCAATGCAGCCGCTGTCTCGCAGCTTCAACGCCGCCGGCCTGCGCGCCCTCTACAACAGCAACAACAACAGCAACAGCGGCAGCGGCATCACCAGCACCAGCAGCACGAGCAGCAGCCCGACGAAGCTGCCGATGGGGACCCGCCAGCCCGCGCTGTCTGTGTCCCCGGTGCGCGGGCCACGCATGTCGTCGCCACACGCCCCCGTCTCATCGCCACTCACACCATCCTCCTCCACCGCACACGCGCACGCATATGCGAGCACAGCAGGCAGCTACCTGCCCTCGGCAGCAACAGCAGCAGCCGGCACAAACGCAGGCAGTGCAACATCGACAACAATGACGACGATGATGACGGGTGGCGACAGCGCGTCGTTGAGCGCGCGACCAGAGCGGTTAGCAACGCCGCCGCGGGAGGGGTACGTGCACGTGCCAGACCCAAATCGCGTGCGGCGAAAACACGAGCGGGAGCACATGGAGCGCGTACCCATCACGGAGCGGCTGAAACTGCCGATGGGCCGTGGAGGGTCACGCCCCCACAGCGCAGGGAGCGTGGATGGAAGTGGAAGCATCAGCAGCACTGGGGGGCATGTGAGCGGCAGCAGTGCTGGTCGCCGCCGTGCTCGCCGTATCTCTGCACAGTACACATCGCAGCTGTAGTCCCAATGATGATTGATGATGATGATGACGTCGTCGTCGTGTGCGTGTATGTCTCTGTGTATGTGTCTGTGTGTGTTTGTTTGTGTATGTATGTGTGGCTGTGTCTCTGTTTGTGTCTGTTTCTATGCGTGTGTGTGTGTGTGTCTGTGTGTGTGTCTGTGTACGTGTGTGTTTATTGCGAGGGAGGGGAGAAAATGTGACGCACCTCATGTTGCTGTTTCGGTTGGAGTTGAGCTGGTATCAACAGGTGGTGTGCGCTGTCTGTGAGTGCTGACACACGCGTTTTGTTGGTGCTCTGTTGCCTGGGGTGTTTCCTCCCTCCTCCTCCTGCCCCCCCCCCTCTTCTTCTCCTTTCTTCTTCTTTATTCAGCCCTTCGTTTCATGCGGTTGTTGCATCATGTCACTCTTATGTGTTGCCTCTCTGTCACTGGCAGCCTCGACCTGCTTCTTCTTCGTTCTTCTTCTTTTCGCTGCTTGCCTTGCACTGCCTCGTTGAATCCTGTCCATAACGTGTTTGTATGTATGTATGTACGCACGGTTCCCTCTTGTCTTTGTGTGTATGTGTTGTAAATGCTACGAATTGACTCGAGTGCCGTGTGATGTGATGGCGTGATTGCAGTGGTGACACGGTGATGATATCATGTCAATGGTGGTGCAGCACACACACACACACACACACACACACACACACACACACACACACACACACACACACACACACACACACACACACACACACACACACACACACACACACACACACACACACACACACACAC